CTGTCTGTCTGTCTCTCTCTCACTCCACTACTGGGTATTACATCTTCAGTCCTGCCAGACAAGTACTCTGTCACTGAGCCACATCATCAGCCTTTTTCTGAATTTCAAAACAGGGTCTCACTAAGTTGCCAAGGCTGGCCATGAACTTGCGATCCTCCTGCCTCTGCCTCCCAAATAGCTGAGATTAAAGGCACACGCGACCACGTTCCTCCAGAATGCTCTTTTTGAAACAAGACATTGGGTAACATTCAAGTTACAGAGGAAACAGTGTGCAAAAACGTTTTCATAAGAGAATGGCAGGAAGTTTCTTCATTGCTGGAGTTGAGAAAGCTGGCTTCCTACAATCTGTGACTATATTTTTTTTTATGATAGCATAGTCAAGTTTTTTTTGGTTTTATTTTTTCTTAGTACATGTTTGTACTACGTTTCCAGTCCTTGCGTGGAGTTGGCGCATGTACATAACACATCTTGACTCCCTTCTTCCCCCTTTCCTTCCCTTTACTCCCTCTTCCATCTCTTCATCTCCTTCCCATCTGAGAAAGACCTACCTCCCTACCTCCTATTATCAATGTTTCATTTTGCTCTTTATTTATAGTTTGGGTTTATCATATAAGAGAAACCAATGCCATATTTAAGCTTGCGTGTCTGATTTATTTCTAACATTATGGTCTCCCGGTGCATCCATATCCTGACAAATGACTCAAGTTTCTCTTCTTTATGGCAGCGTCGTACTCCATTGTGTGTGAATAGATCTTTATCCATTCATCTGGTTTTTTTTTTTTTTTTTTTTTTGTTTTTTTTTTTTTTTTTTTTTTGTCTTTTTTTGGTTTTTCTCTGGTACCGGGAACCGAACTCACGACCTTGTGCTTGCCAGGCAGGCGCTTTTGCCGCTGAGCTAAATCCCCAGCCCCTGTCTGATTTCTTGATGGCATCCATTCTTTCTGGGGTAAGATGGAATCTCAGTGTTGTTTTTTAATTTTCTTTTTTATAATGGCCAGTGATAGTGAGCATTTCTTCATGTTTTTATTGGCCATTTGTACTTCTGTGAAGTGTCTGTTCATTCCCTTGCCCATTTTTTATTGGCTCTTTTATTTGAGGGGGTCTAATTTCTTTGAGTTCTTTACATATTCTAGACACTAGTACTTTGAAGAGTAACTGTCAGAAGTTTTCCCGTTATGTTTGCTACCACTCTGTTCATTCTTTTGCTGTGGAGGTTTTTTAAATTGATGTGATCCCATTTGGTGATTTTCAGAACTATTTCTTGTGCAACTGGCATTCGGTTCAGAAAATCCTTGCCTATGTGTATGATTTTAGAGTTTCACCTATCTTGTCTTCCAGCAGGTTTAAGTGTTTCTTTTCTAACATTTAGATCTTTGATTCACTTTAATTTTAGTTTAGTACATGGTGAAAGATATGGGTCCAGATTCAATCCTCTGTATGTGGATAGCTAGTTTTCCCAACACCATTTATTAAAGAGACTCTCTTTTCTCCGTTGTATGTTTTTGCCCCCTTTGTCTAAGATCAAATAGTTGAATGTGCTTGGGGTTGTTTCGCACCCTCTATGCTGTTCCACTGGTCCACATGTCTGTTTTTGTGCCAGTCCCATGCTGTTTTGTTTTTGTTTTTGTTTTTGTTTTTGTTTTTTTTTTTGTCTTTTTGAGACAGGGTCTCACTATTACAGTTCAGGCTGGCCTTGAGTTCACTTTGTAGCCCAGGCTGGTCTCGAACTTGCAATGATCCTCCTGCCTCAGCCTCCCAAGTGCTGGGATTACAGGTGTGCGCCACCACGCCTGGCTTTTCCCATGCTGCTTTTGTCACTGTAGCTTTGTAGTGCAGTGTAACTTCAGGTCCAGGACTGTGATATGGCCTGCCTTGCTCTTGTTGCCCAGGATTGCTTTTGCTATTCTGAGTCTCTTCTGGTTTTGTATGGATTTTAGGATTTTCTCCAATTCTGTATGGCATGTTGTTGGTATTTTGATTGGGATTACATTGACTCTGTATCAATTTTGAAATGAAGGTGATTTTGACTATTATGGTTCTGCCTATCCAGGAACAAGGAATATCTTTCTATTTTCTGATGTCTTCTTTGATTTCCATTTTCAGTGTACTATAGTTTTCATTGTTGTTTTGGTTTTTTTTGTCTTTTTTTGGGACAGGGTCTCGCTACGCAGTTCAGGCTGACCTTGAGCTCACTTTGTAGCCCAGGCTGGCCTCGAACTCGCAACGATCCTCCTGCCTCAGCCTCCCGAGTACTGGGATTACAGGCGTGCGCCACCACGCCCGGCTATAGTTTTCATTGTGAAGATCTTTTACTTCCTTAGTTAGGCTAATTCCTAAATATTATTCAGCTTTTCTTGGTGTTGTTGTGAATGTTATTTTTTTCCCAATTCCTTTCTCAGTAGCCTCATTATTAGTGTATAGGAACATTATTGATTTTGGGGTATTGATTTTATATCCTGCTGCATTACTGGATTTGGTCATGGATTCTAAGAAACTTTTAGTAGATGTTTTTGGTTTTCTATATAGAATATCATGTCTTCTGCAAATAATGATAATTTGACTTCCTTCTTTCCTGTATATATCTCTTTTATTTCTCTCTCTTGCCTAATTTCTCTTGCTAATGTTTTGAGTACTATGTTGAACAAGAGTGGTGATAGTGAGTATTCTTATCTTGTTCCTGATTTTAGAGGGAAAGCTTTCAGATTTTCCTCATTTAATATGATGTTAGCAATAGGTTTGTCACAAATGGCTTTTATCTGATCAAGATAAGGTTGTCCTATGTGTATCTTCTTCAGGGCTTTAATCATGAAATGATGTGGGATGATGTCAAAGGTTTTTTCTTGTCTATTGAGATGATCACGTGATTTTTATCCTCGCTTTTGTTTATGTGATGTATTACATTTATTGATTTGTGTATGTTGAACTCTCCTGGCATTCTTGAGATGAAGCCTATTTGGTCGTGATTTATGATCTTTTTGATGATTCACTACATTCACTACATGATGTTTGCCAGTATCTTATTGAGGATTTTTGATTCTATATTCATTAAAGAAACTGATCTATAGTTCTGCTTTT